ATCATGATCTGACTCTCCTTTCGAAAGTTATCGTGTAAACGGCCGGCCGGCCGGACATACTGACCGATTCTAGAGTGTACTCACTTTTTGAGTACACAAAAACTGAAATCAATCCAAGATCATCATAGTTTTATCATGTGTTCACCGTTAGTTTATACATACATGTTTAGACCAGTGTATTGTCACTGTTGTATCTCTAATTATCTCGAAATATTAGTTTTTTTTTTCTTTTAATAAACTCTTTGAAGTTTATGTTTGAAATCTTTAGGTGTTAGGCTGTCGATTATTATCTTCTTTATATTGGTATACTGATGCTGTATCACAAACATTTATATTTTGTGAAGCAATGTTTTTATTTACAGCTTTAACTAGTCATTTATTTCGTGATCGTGGTTGTTTACCATTTGTTTTATGGGGTTGGTTAAGTCCATTAGTATGGTTAACAATGTGGATTGCATCACATATAATAACAGATAAAATAAAAGGCCGATCAACATGTTGGTTAGAAGGAGATAATACAACATATTTTTATTATTTTTTTTATGTTCCATATGCTTTTTATTTACTTATTAATTTTGGAATATTTCTTTATCTTGTTCGACTTCTCTATTCAAAATATCAATCATTTAATGTTCAAACAAATCGTACAGGAAATCGGTTTGTAAAATATTCATATAGAAGTTTTTTTTTTTTTTTTTCTTATTTTAGGATAAATTTTCTTTTTTAGACATTTAATCAAATCTATTCTTATATTAATTCCATTATTTGGTCTTCATTCATTATTTGTTATATGGGTTTTTTATCATAGAAATCAAGGACATACTATTTGGTATTATATATCAGTTATATTCAAAGCTGTTTTTGGTGATTTACAGGTAGAATATAAATAATTAATTCTAGAAAAAAAATTCTTTATTTTTTTATTTTAAAGGGTTTTTTTACATCATTAATTTATTTTTATTTTAATACTGAAATACGTTATGAAGTTCTTCGACAAGTTCAACGAGCACTTATAAGTAATGAAACTGTTCGACGTAGTTCAGCTGGTGATACATTATCAACACGTTTATCAACATTTCGTCGATCAATAAGTCGACATCGTCATTCATCAATACAAAATCGTAATGAACGACGTCGTATGAATCCTTCATATCCAAATTCATCAATAATAAAACCTAAACATAAAACATGTTGGAGAAAATGTCTTACATTAATTTGTCCTTGTATAATAAAAAAATTAATTGAAAAAAGAAATCTTCAAGAAGAACAACAGCCAGCTGAATTAAATAATTTAAATGAAATAACACCAGCTATAGTACCTGAATTAGTTGTTGTTGATGATACAGGTGGTGTATCATCACCATTAATTGTACAAATACGTTCAACAAAAGGTGCAATTGATAATGATGGTATAACATGTGATACTGTTTTAATGAAAAATGATAACGAAGATTATGAATTATTAACAGATGAAAATGATGTTACTATTCAGCAATCATCATTTCATGCTGAACAAACATCATCATCAAATCATACACCGATATCAATACGTTTAAAAAATCTACAACGACAACGATCAAATAGTGATGGTTATGTTTTAAAAGGCTTATCATCAAGTCATTTTGCTGATAATAAATCATTGAGATAATTGAAGAATTTCTGTTTTTTTTTGTACTATTGAACTGATTTATTGAACTAATGTAAAGAGCAAGTTCTTTTTTTTTTTTCTACATTCCTCTGTTGTTTTATGTTAACGACAAAAAATAAATACAATTATGATTTTATTTTTAATGACTAAAAATATTGACTTTTAGTGGACGATAAGTCTTTTGCAAGAAAAAGACCTGATCACAAATTATTAATCTTTTTTTTTGCTGACTCTCGACACATTATAAAATCAAAGTATTTCAACAGTATACAACGATCCTAATGCCAGTTTATTAACATATTGTCCCTGTTGGCTATCGTTGTTATGTTGTTCGGCATGTTTTCACAAGGCACTGTATTCAAACCTCGGTATCATTAGTCGTGGCATGACCCTGGACAAGTCACTTATGTATGTTTATCTCAGACTACCAGTTCGATAGCATACCGATTAAGTTGTGACATACATTTGCTCTTGTGATTAGTTAGTGTGTGGGGAAAGCTCAAGCAATTGAGTAGAAAAACTCTGTATCAGGCTGGTCTTACTGCAAGGTAGCCGAGAGGCAATCAGAAATTAGGCGCATCATGTAGGCTCTAATAAGTGACGAATAATCTGCAAAGAATTCGTACTATTTTATTATGAAGTCTTTAGATCTTTTCATGGTTCTTGTCCTGAAGTAAAAACATCGATATTTGCCAGTATATATGAGCGATGTAAAAGACATCCTTTTATCATGACCTATGACACCTAAATTGTTGTTTTCTTTTATTTTTCTCCGTATTTGCTCTTTAAATAGATCATATTAAAAAAATTGAACAGCCAAAACAAAGTTCAAAGAAAAAAAAATCTAATTTTATCCTTAGCAAATTGTAACAATTATCGTTCAATATTACAAGCTTCGAATGATGAATGTAAATCGATGAGTTACCTTTCGAGGAGATAAATATTCAAACAAGTGACTGTTATTCAAATTTCGTTCTTCTATTGAATTTTATTTCAGATGATGTTTGACGATGAATCATTTCGTATAATACTGACGATTACAGGATATAATTATCTCCACTTAATGTAAAGTGTTTTTCATCATACAAAATTAGTTAACCGTTTGGCTTCAAAATAATGTAAAGTTTCAAACAATTTGATTGAACTCGTCGTTGACTGATATCAGTCTTATTAGTAACACTTTTGTTTAATGCCTGCATGTATTTATCAGAAATTTTCGATGGTCGTCGAGATTTCAGTAAAAAATTTGTTGTTCCATGTTCTTCCTAGTTTTTCAAAATACGACAGGTCGTTCGACGTGTAATTTCTTGTTTCAAAAAGTGAATAATACTGACTTTAACAACACTAATCGTGTAACTAGTATGAAAAGTTACAATTGATTTTTGCAAGTTCTATATTTTCATCGTTGTGTCAATTTCATTTATGATTTATAAATGAGTAACTCATAGTATATCATTCACAAGAACTTATTTGGATCTATAAAATGGAACATTAATTATATTTTTAGAATTCATTCTGGCTATGTAATAGCCTCAAACATTTGTGCGAATACTTCTGCATTCGGGTTATTCGTCGAGATCAGTGAGTCTGAATGAGGATCTTTTATGTACCCTCATTCACTTTCACTTTCGATGTTCGTTTAGAATACTTTAAGGGGGACCCCTCCCTCAGGAATCGCTTTTCGTTATTCGTGGACCGAGTTGGCTGGAATTTTCAGGGAATATGTGTGTTACATTAACTAAATTTCTTGCAAATTTTTGACTCATAAAATTCTTGTTTTAATGAGTTATTGACAAATTAGTCCTGAAAATGGTGGTCCTCGTAAGGTACCGATTTCTCGAACTGTAGAAGAGGTAGCGAACTAC